ACTTTTAGAACTTAGTTTTTTGGTATTTAAATATATAATTGATATTTATTAATTAAATAAATGGATTTAATTTCATGCTACTCTAAAATCTAGTATAGTGTTTCTACAAAAGGAAAATACACAATTAAGCAAACTTAGATGCTGGTGGACGTCCTGCCCTCTGGGCTCCATAGCCCATTTCTTTGCTCGGAAAGGACTTTAAACTTCAACATTTGTCAGAACAAAAGTATTGGTCAGAACATGCCTCTCTCTTCCAATATACTTTAAGTTCTGAATTTGGGGTTGAGAAAGCAAGGAAAGGGAAGAGAACCTGGGGGGAGTATGAAGCTCAGGTACGCTTTTGCCTCAGCGGAACTGAAAAGCAGTGAAGTTTTTACTTTTTGAGGTTCTCCCTGCTGCCCACTTTTCTTTCTTCTTAAACCTTAAGGCCCTTCCTATTACCAAAATCTATTCTTACATAAGCATTAAAGCACAGACTCAGGGATGTGTAAATTACTAGCTGCAATTCAAAGAGATAACTTTCCTAGGAATTTTTATATTGAAACAGAGATCAGTGCCTCAAAATGAAGGTATAACAGTGAGATTTCAGGAATTCTCAGTTAAGGTAAGACTGATAAGGTAGAGTTTTCCTGGGGAACCTTGGAAGACGTCCTCCTCTGCCTGGGTATCAGGCTTTTCTAGTTTGATAACTGCAACCAAATGAATACCCAACCAAGTTTGTAATCATATTTGAAGGTTTAAAAGAAGCCTGCAGAGTTCACATAGTCAGTGTCTCCAAATGAAATCAAATGGTGTTTCTAGAAGCAATTGAGAGATCACTTAATAGAGGGATTAAGAAAAATGAGGGATTAAGAAAGAATTTGGAACCACTCATCATGTTTTTCTCTGACGTTGAATTATTTCCCAAGGGCATCATTAGTGCTTACACAAATAAGCCTTTCTTTTGGGGACATGCCAGGACACATCTTAAATCTGTTGCTAATGCAGTTTGAACTGCCAACTTGGAACCTCTGCTCTAAGCTTGACCCAGTAGGGTTGTGCACTGGGTACAATGAGTCCACAAAGAACTGGATTGCTCCTGGGATTGGGTGGGATGGAGAAGTGCCATCACATACTCCAAAGAAACATTGCTTAAGCTGAGTCTGGGAAGATGAATAGAGTTGTTCCTTGAGCTGAGGGATTTGAAGATACCATTTGTTGTTATTTTATAATGGAGGAAGGAAGGAAGAAAAGGAAGGAAGGAAGGAAGGAAGGAAGGAAGGAAGGAAGGAAGGAAGGAAGGAAGAGGGAGGGGCAGGGAGGAGGAAGTGAAGAAGAAAGGAAAGAAGGAGAGGAAGGAAGAAAGGGAGCAAGGGAGGAAGGAAGGAAGGGAGGGAAGGAGGGAGGGAGGGAGGGAGGAAGGAAGGAAGGAAAGAAGGAAGGGAGAGAAAGTTGGCTAATGTAATACTTCACACAATCCAAATGATAGTTAAGTGTAATCATGTATGTGAGCACTTCATAGAATGAAAGGCAACACTGATTATTAAATTATGATAGTGATTTCAAGAGCAGTTGTTTTACGAGCAGGCACCCTGCCTTAGTTAATACCTTCTCAAATATAGGCAGACAAAAAAAAATTCAGAAGCATGTGAATGACAGAGAGATTTTTTGGGAAAGGATGCTTTTTTCCCAAAAAATTAACACTGTTCTAGATCCTGCATCAGTGTTGATGGCTTTTGGAAGTCTGTTAAGAACCTGTGGACAGATAAAGAGAGCTAAAAGAATTTTTAGCTTTTTCTATCCATAAGAAACCAGTCCTGAGCACTGAAGGCAATAGTAAAGTTATTTTATGGGCATTACTAGCAGGGAGGTTGAAATCAGGATCAGAGTACTATTAGCTATCCAATAACCTTGAGAGGTGCTTTCTTGATTCTGTGAAAGCTTGAGCATAACCTTCTTAGGAGTCTTTCTTGAAATTAATTATATGGGTGAATGAAAGCGTCTTTCTGGGAGACCACCTCTTTGTAAGAATTTTCTAAGACATTTTTGCCCTTAAGATCAGAAACATGTAGATTTAGGTTATTACCATGAACATTAAAACCCTAGTCCCAAAAGAGAAGAGTATGAACTATGAACATCAGAGAAAGGTAGCTTTGGGACAAAAGGCCATATTTATTAAACATTGTCTCCCAGAGCAAATCTCTAATCCATTTCGGTAGATTAATATTTGACTTATTTGTGCCCAGGGGAAAGGTAAGTTGACTCTTCTCATTTGTCTGAGAGCACTGCCCTTTGCTTTCATGTCTCTACTCTGATTGGGAACCTTTAGCTCTCCTCACCCCATTAATCTGATCACTATATAATCTGAACCTGGGTTCCCACCCAGGAACTTTGAGAGTGGGGTATGCTCTAGGTTCATACAGCTGGAACCCATCTCCAGGAACAAAGAACTGGAAACAATCTTCAGTTGGAGGGAAACTTCCAGATTTTAGTAAGATTCTTTCTCCTGGGTATTCTGTTATTCTGTTTGTCTATATATGTACTATTTCTAACAATCTATTAATTTCAATGAAGCCGTTTCCACCCTTTAAAGCTTTTTGGCTCCCACACTCATGAATTAAGAAGACAAATCAGATTTTGAAGTTTAAAATGAAAACAGATTTTTTTTTAGGGATAGCTTATATTTGGGTAAATGGAAATTAATGACTGCAACTAAGTAGTTTAGAGGGAATCCTAAATTGTGATTAAAATTACCAAATATCTAGGGAAATCTTTTGCTGGAAGGCACATCTATAACCTTCTTTGGTAGAGGAACTGTAGATAGTTTAATAAGGAAATAAATAGAAAATAGGGCCTGGGAGACAGAATAGTAGTTAGGGTACATATCTAGCATGCATCTGACTGGGCCTCAGCACTACATGGTCTCCTAAATATCACTGGGAGTGGCCCCTGAGCTCCATGAAATGCTTGGGCCCAGTCAGATGCACCCCCATTTGTTTATGCCTTTCCCTATCTTTTTTTTTTTTTTTTTTAGTTTTGGAGACTGTTTGAAAGCAGAGTAGAAGATCTGCTGTTTGAAAGCAGATCCCAAGATCAAAAGCAGGTATACTAGCAGATTGGAGGGAAGAAGGAGAGGACATAAAGGGAGAACTATGCATTGAAATTGAATGTTATATTTTCAGTTTAGGGGATCACTGTCATCACTGTCATCCCGTTGTTGTCAATTTACTTGAGCGGACGCCAGTAACATCTCTATTCCACCCAGCCCTGAGATTTTAGCAGTCTCTCCTTACTTGTCTTTCCCAATGATTGGAGGCTCATTCAGGGTCAGGGGAATGAGACCTGTTATTGTTACTGTTTTTGGCATATAGAATACGCCATGGGGAGCTTGCCAGGCTCTGCCCGTGCAGGCGGGATACTCTCAGTAGCTTGTCGGGCTCTCCGAGAGGTATATAAGGGATATTGTCCTAAAAATATAGTAGTGTGAAGCTATATTTATGAAGATTGTAACCATAATTACTCACCATAAACTATCAAGTTAACTTTGAGGTACACAATGTTACTTGAATCTCTTGAACACAAGACACTGCATTGCTTGTGGAGGGAGAAGGAGAATGTAAATTTTGTGGAGACTAAAGAATTGATCTGAAATAATGGATAAAGTTGTCTAGTGATGGTTGGAGCAAATTCTATTGGCAAAAAAAGTTGACTGAGAGTTAAGTGTTTGGATGTGTGTGACTAAGGATAAGTGTGAGTGAATGTAAGTGTGAATCACTTCGACTCCCAGGTGTGAAGCATCCCTGGCCTAGGTAAATTTACTTCTGCCTTACAAATAATCTGTTTCTTACTTCATATCTCTCAATTCCACTTTCCCTTTCTTTCGGGAAAATTTAGAATTGACTATAGGAGTAAGAAATTTGTGTGTGTATACAGATGTTTGATATAGGTGATCGTCATGTAGACTTGCTGGGACTTGGCTTTCAGATGTCTTAGAGAGTCAAGATTACTATGACGTTGAGAAAAACCTGTGCAGAGCTATTACATAACAAATATGAAAGTTCTCCAAATCAGGCACAAGGAAATTCCTTTAGGATTCCAACCTGCAATGAGCAAGTGACTTTCAGGATGTGAAGTTTCTTTGTTGTGTCAGTCAGTGCCTTTACTAGAGGTGATTTTTGTGTTTAGTCACTTGCCAAACCTTAAGACATGAGGCATATTAGTGAGATTAGAATGCATTGAATTCTGCATTTTTCCCATCTGGTGCCTTGTGCCACAAATTAATATAAACTGGTTCCTTGTGCCACTAATTAATATAAATTTAAACTTTTTTGATTTCATGGACACTGGACTTTTACTACTGAAAGTAGGAAAAAAATTTCTTGTGCTTAAGGAAAACTATGGGATTTTTGATTTAGAGATTTAGCAGTGTTCTCATTTTATAAATGAACTTTAGATGAAAATTAAATCAACCATTAAAAATAATTAAGCAGCTACAAAGTTAGTGCAGGGGTTAGTAGGCATGCAAGGCATGTGGCCAACTCAGTTCTATTCTGGCATCACACGCACTCTCTCCCACAACGTGTTGCCAGATATTGCTTTAGAGGCCCCTGAACACCACAGGGTATGACCCTGATAATTCCAAGAACTTCAGTACTGGGGCTGTACTACATCCCTGGGTCTTCGCACTGAATCAGTGGCCAATTGGCCTCCAGTTTCTCTGAGCACATGGTAAGCCCCCCACGGGGGGTGGGGCGCGGGGGGAGTGGATCTACTTGAGGCATGATTCAAGGAGAAGAACATGGATTTTGCCCTCCTACAGATTATACAGTAATAGGAAACACATGCACCAGGTAATTGTTTTCCCAAAACTACAAGGACAGTGCTTTGAAAATGATAGCTATGAGGTAAATTAATAATTTTGTGATGTCCTTATGGACGGCAGAATCTCCTGCCCCTGTGTCAGGCTATCTTCACCGGGGCCCCTTGGAGAGGGGCGGGTAGGGTTTCCGTCCCTGCCCCAAGCAGAACTCTGGCAGCCGAAAACCTGCAGAACCCTGGCACAGCCATGCTCAAGGCCAGTCTCCACACGCTTTGAAGAGCCTCACGCATGAAGGAACTGACAGAGGAATCCAGGTATGCGGGACCCGGGGCTGAGATCTCCAAGCCTGCTCAGATCAGGACTGGGCCTCCTCCACCCAGATCCTCAGTTTTGCAGTAGCTTGGCAGTCACACCCACAAAGTGCCCCCCCCCCCCCCCCCCCCCCCCCCAGTGCCGTGTAATCTCATCAATGGCCAAGATTCAGAGACTGTAAAACAAAGCTCCCGGAAGAGAGTGCCGCAGTATTTCCTGGAGCGATTAGACATTTCCCCCAAAACCTTTGTCCCTCTTGGAGAGCCCGGCAAGCTACCAAGTTATCCCACCCACATGGCAGAGCCTGACAAACTCCCCGTGGTGTGTTCGATATGCCAGAAACAGTAACATTAACGGGCCTCATTCCTCTGACCCTGAAAGAGCCTCTAATATGGCAGAGCTGGGAAGGACGAGAAGAGAGACTGTTAAAATCTCAGGGACAAATGGAGACATTACTGGTGCCCACTTGAGCAAGTTGATGAACAATGGGATGCAGTGCTACAGTGTTATCCTTATAGGCAGATCCTGAACTTTTTTACTTTGAAATTTGGGCCTAGTGAAGAGTCTTTTATTTGACTAAATATTAACATTTTATTAGCTAAATATTTTTTTTTATTTTTTATTTATTTTTTTTTTGTTTCTTTCTTTTTTTGTTTTTTACAGTTGTAGATTTACAATTTTTTTGTGCTTGGGTTTCGATTATACAATGATCAGATACCCATCCCTCCACCAGTGCCCACTTATTAGCTAAATATTAACATCTAAAGCTGATACACTAAACAGGGCTACTAGCCCATCTGTGAGCAGAAATTTCCTCATAACCGGTACAACTCTGGCACTTCCTGCAAAAGGTTCTGTAATCTCTAGTGTGGAAGGCATTGGCAAAATCCTATCCACCACTGCCATCTAATGACTCTTCCTGGGTATTGCTAACTCTAATTCTACTTCCTTATTATAGCTGTTAAATTAAAATCACATTGATTTATCATTGGTTTACAATATTATATAAATTAAGGAGTACCACCTCACATCTCTGTGTGTGTATAAGCTTCACCACATCCACCACCAAAGTTCCAGTGCTGTTTGTTCCCATGATCGGATTGAGCCCAACTTCCTGTCTGAACTCACGGATCTGGTTCCTGAAGAGAGGTATTGATCTAAGGTCCCTTTGCATTTGCAACCCTACAATTTTGTGATTGCCTTTGTCAGTAGAGGACAATATTTGTCCATTGAAGAGCAAAAGACTTCCTTGATTAGAAATATATAAAACTTTGATTAAGTCTTCCAAAAGAATACAAAGACACACAGGAGACTGGAAATCTTGATGCAACTAGAAAGCTTGAAAAAGCTTTTGCAGACCAGCACCTGGTTGGAGCAGCAGCCACACAGGGATGTCATTCTTTTAGGGATAGACGTGCCCTGTCCTCTGCGATATGTACCACTGTTTTGCTAAACTCCCAAGAAAATTTTTTCCACTTGATTCTATTGTGTGATTAATGGGGAACTTTCTTTCTTTCTTTTATTTATTTTTTTTGCTTTTTGGATCACACCTTGCGATGCTCATGAGTCACTCCTGGCTCATGCACTCAGGAATTCCTCCTGGCGGTGCTCCGGGGACCATATGAGATGCTGGGAATTGAACCCGGATCAGCAGCGTGCAAGGCAAACACCCTACCCACTGTGCTATCGCTCCAGCACCAATGGAGAATTTTTCACTTGCTGTTTATTTCAATATTGTGGAACGACCACAAGAATGTTTTAGTGCTAAATTAATCATTTTTTTAAGGAATATACAAATTTTATTTATAGTTGTTATGAAACAGCCGATCTCCACTGCCCAGCCACCACCACGCTCCAGGCCACTTTCCGGACCATGACCACATGACACATTATATGACACTTCCTACCCATTTATGCCTCTTAGAGAGCCCGGCAAGCTACCGAGAATATCCCGCCCGCACAGGCAGAGCCTGGCAAGCTCCCCATGGTGTATTCGATATGCCAAATACAGTAACAATAATAGGTCTCCTTCCCCTGACCCTGAAAGAGCCTCCAATCATTGGGAAAAGACGAGTAAGAAGAGGCTGCTAAAATCTCAGGGCTGGGAGGAATAGAGACGTTATTGGCTCCTGCTCGAGTAGTTCGGCGACCAACGGGATGACAGTGATATAGTGATACAGTGATGAAACAGAGCAAATAAATGTCAAAAGATGATGGTGAGAGAGAGAGAGAAAGAGAGAGAGAGAGAGAGCAGGGAGAGAGATCTGACTTTTGTTTAGTCTTTAGATGAACAATTACAACCCTAGATTCTCCTGTCGTTAATTTAATTTGTCTTTAATCTACTGTCTTTAGATTCAAGATTGTACTCCCAAGGCTGTATAACAACATTACAGACTTAGTGCAAAATATTTAATATAAAATAATGTGACTTTCTTATAATAAAAGCACAAAATTAATAAAAAGAATAATCGATGCTTTTTAACTGTTACTGATGTAAGATGATTTGCAACAGTGTCCATATTATTGTTATATGCTTGCAATGCTACTTCACCACCCCCACCATAGGTGTCAGTGATCCTCCTTCATTGCCCCAGAGCTCCCCCACCTTTGCATCTTTGCACCCTTAGTTGGCTGTTCTGTTGCAGCTATGAAAAGCTAATATCCATTTTATTTATTTATTAGCCTGGCAAACTACCTGTGACATATTCGATATGCCAAACACAGTAACAACAAAGTCTCACAATGGAGACATTACTGGGCCCACTCGAGAAAGTCAATGAACAATGGGAGGACAGTGACAGTGATATTTTATAAAGTTGTTCATGATGATTTGTTATATTTAATATTCCAACATCAATCACACCACTCTTATACCTTCCCACCACCATTATTTTGAATTTTTCCAACCACCCTCCAAGCCTGCCTGAATAGCAATCCCTAAATAATTTATTTTGTATTGCTTGTTATAAATAATTTGCTAAAAATGATTGAAAAAGTTTTCCTAGAAGAAAGTGTGTGAAGATTGTTGTAGCTCAGCCTGAAGCCGTTAATATGGCTTGTATAAGAGATTACCAACATGTTGTTACAGGTTGAGCCTTGTGTGCTAATATTTTTTTTTGTTGTTGTTGAGTTGCCTTCTATTTTACATCTTATCCAATATAGTGTGCTACTCCTGGTACATCAGTGCTGTAGACTATGCGATAGAAAGAAATTCTAAAATGGACAGTATGTGCTACTGTCCATTTTAAATTTAGTTTCCTTTTTACTTTTTTTTTTTTCTGGTTTTGGACACTACTTGGGAGCTGTTTCTTACTCACTCCAAGAACTATGTGGTACCAGAGATCAAAGTAGGTCTTCACACATGCAAAGCATGCACCCCAATTTGAAGATTAAACATCCCATTGTAAAGAATTTCTCAATATGTCAAGAAATTAGAGCACAGCGGGGAGGGCATTTGTCTTGCATTTAGCTGACCCAGGTTCAATCTCTGACACTCCATATGGTCCCTAAGCACCACCAGGAGTGATCCTTGATTGCAGAGCTAGGAGAGAGCCCTGAGCACTTCTGGGTGTGGCTTACAAACAAAATTTTAAAAAATCATAGCCAATTTTAATTTAGTTGAATTACTCATTGACAGTTTGAAAATACACATTATAAAAAATCAGATAAAAGTCATTTTTTGTTAGGTGTAGGAGCAGTCACATATATTTGATATAAATAGGGGGGCTTTGACATTTTAAATTTATTTTTAATTTTAGGATGACACATGGCAGTTTGAGCACAAGGCCTCTCTCAGCTATCTGCTCAGAGTCATTCTGGTAGTGATGCAAGAAATTGAATCCAGGACTCCTGCACATAAAGCATATTTTCCAATTTATTTAGTTATTTCTTTGGCTCAGTGGTTTCTAAAGGTTCTGAATTTTTTTTTTTTAAATTAAAACATACAGCCAGGAACCACAGGTTCCAAATACTAAATGTCTTTGAATTCTCAAAAAAAAAAAAAATTAGTGGTTCTCTCAAGCAGTGCTTAGAAAGCCCCGTTAGTGTCTTGTGTTTCAGTGCAAAGACCAAAGGATGTAATGCTGCTCAGCTCTGCGGTGCTGGGGATCACCACAGCTATTCCAGCAATTCAGGGCCTCCAGTGCTGGGATGCTCAGGGGTCCATTTGGTGCCAGGAATTGAACCTCAGTAGGGCGCATGCTAAACATCTTCCCTAACCGCTGTACTATCTCCTGATCCCATCAAATCCTAAAATTTCAACTTAAAGTATAAAGATTGGGGCTAGAGAGATAGTACAGCAGGTAGGCTGTTTGCCTTGCATGTGGCCTCCTGGGTTCTATTTCCAGCATTCTGTATGGTCCCCTAAACACCACAGGAGTCATTCCTGAGCATCACTGGTGGGGCCTCAAAACCAAAGTAAATAAATAAAGTATAAGGATAGAGTTTATTTTTATAAAAGTTTCTTTGAGGACATTACAAAGCAGCATTTTAAAAGATCCTAAGGAATTTAACTTTTAGTTTACTGTAATCTGTACTTGTTCAATTTAAAAATACTATTATTTAGGGCTGGAGTGATAGCACAGCGGGTAGAGTGTTTGCCTTGCATGTGACTGACCCGGGTTCGATTCCCAGCATCCCATATGGTCCCCTGAGCACCCCCAGGAGTAATTCCTGAGTGCATGAGCCAGGAGTAACCCCTGTGCATCGCCGGGTGTGACCCAAAAAGCAAAAAACAATCTATTGTTATTAAAATCATGCTGTATCAAGAAACTCCATCTTTATATTCTGAGTATACATGAGTCGGACACACTGCCCCCTGGAATGTGTGAGTTCTACAGTTTGAGACTGACAGCTGATGATGGTGACAACCCTCCTTTTAATTTTCTTCTTAATTGAGAGAGATTTTAAAAAAATTATTGCGGGGCCAGGGTACTGATAGCACAAGAAGTTAAGATGTAAGCCTTGGATGTAGTTGACGTTGGTTCTAGCCCAGGTGCCACATAGTTCTCCAGGCATTGTCAGGCGTGGCCCTCGAGGCCCCAGAGCACCACTGGGAGGCCCAAGGAACATAATTAACTAATTAAGTAATTAATTAAAGGCAGTTACAGCTAATTAATAATAAAACTTGATGCTAAGGCCCAAGGAGGGTTTTGTTTTTGTTGTTGTTATTTTTAACTACATGGCAGCATCCCTTGCTATTGTGTAACAATCTATGTGTATAAGCAGAGGAAATTAGAAAATGATCTCTGATGTTAACTAAGAATAAGCTTGAATTCCTCTTTCTTTAGGACTTTGTAAGAGATGACCCCAGATCCATTTGCAAACATTGCATAAACTTTTTCCATTTTCTGTTCTTTCTAAATAGTATACAACAATCCCATCATTTCTTGGGGGAAGTAGGTGAAACTGCTCCCTTCACAGCTATCTGGCTGATTGACTTTAGTGTCTGGAGTTTCATCTTCTGCAGTCCTCTGATGAATCGTTCTCTGGGCTCAGAGTTTCCTGAAAAGTCCCTTTTTTTTCACAGCTCTCACCTCCATTCTCGTATGTTTCTGTCCTTTTAGCCTAACTCGGCAGTGTTATACTGTGTCCTTCCCACACCTCCCTTTGTCGGAAGAGATGGTGATGGTCCTGAACCTTCTGTTGTTGGTCTTCATGCTGGGGCTGGGGCTTACCCCTCCGACTCTGGCTCAGGATGACTCCAGGTACAAACGCTTCCTGACCCAGCACTATGATGCCAAACCAAGTGGCCGGAATGACAGATACTGTGAAAGCATGATGAAGACACGAGGCCTGACCACACCTTGCAAAGACACCAACACCTTTATTCATGGCAAAAAGAGAAGCATCAAGGCCATCTGTGAAGATAAGAATGGAAGTCCTCATGGAGAAACTTTAAGAATAAGCAGGTCTTCTTTCCAAGTCACCACTTGCAAGCATATAGGAGGATCTTCCCGACCTCCCTGTCGGTACAGAGCTACAATAGGGTTTCGACACATTCTTCTTGCCTGTGAAAATGGCTTACCTGTCCACTTTGATGAATCCTTTATCCATCCATAACCAGATCCTTCTCTAGCACTCCTCCACCATGCCCCAGTGGCAGACTTTGTTGCTGGAAATCCAGCAAAGGGTCTGACTGGCTCTTTTGCTTTTTCATATGTCTACTCAATAAAAATATCTCTGAAGAATCAAAGCCTTATCACAGATTCGTGGCCTTTGATCTTCCCCATTCTCTCTACTCAAATGCCCCCTGAGAAGTTTGGATAAAATAGAAATGCCCTTTTCCTTCTCAGTCAGCAGGCAAATGAACTGTGAGAGTGCAGGTGCTAACCTCACCATACAGAGAAAGAATTAGCAAAACTCCAAAGCTCATGGTCACTAAGCAGAGTTTTCCACAGGGGAAAATTGCTTTTGCTGCTAAGTACTAAGCCAACATTACTATCTCCATGTTAAAACTTGAGAAGAGTTAGGTTTCAACTTGTGAATTCTTGTCAGTACCAGGAGGGATGGCCAGATGGCAGCATCAGGCTAGTCAGAATAGGTGAGTAACCCTACCCTCTTCCACGCCTACTAAACTCTTGCTAGAGAAGCAACTCTTGGATACATTGAATATTTGGGTAGAGGGATGCAGAAACAAGAGAGGGTATAGAAAGAGTACACATTAATTTAACCTGGATTTATTTCTTCATTCTACAAAGTTATCTGAATGACCTAAAGTTTCAGACAATGACCTGAAACTGAGTGACAGTGTTTTCTTTGATGTTTCCCTAGAGGCTCCTTAAAAAACAAACAACTTTATAAACCATATACTTGTTTCTGACTGTTGAGAAATACTGAAACAGTGATATTACAACTAAAAATAGACAGCAACCAAGAACCATTGTCAAGACAGAGCACCAAGGAAAGGTGTGCAATATCACCGGGGCTTAGTTTCAGGCTGTGCATAAAAACAAGAAAAAAGGGACACAATTCAAGTCCTCTTTTGTGGAGATTGTGCTATTTGAATTTTTCTTCATTTTTTTTAAAGCCTTTTCTTACCAGTCAATTCTAGATTCCTGGAACACTTCTTCAATCCAATGAAATGAAATTTATAGGTCTTTCATCTCTTTCATTCGTTACTATTTAAATCTTCACAGTACTATGCCTGGGTACTTTTAACTTCATTTTTGTCTTTTTTTTTTTTTTGCTTTTTGGGTCACACCCGGCGATGCACGGGGGTTACTCTTGGCTCATGTACTCAGGAATTACTCCTGGCGGTGCTTGGGGGACAATATGGGATGCTGGGAATCGAACCCAGGTCAGCTGCATGCAAGGCAAACGCCCTACCCACTGTGCTATTTCTCCAACCCCACTTTGTCATTATTTTGGTTTATTTTTACAGATTTTCCAAAAGGACTTCATATTAATACCATTTAGATTTAGTATCATTAAAAAGAAAAGGCTAAACTCAGATGTTATTCTATTCTCTTTTTTCCACCTTCCTCAGTTCTCAGATTTATACAGAATAAAAGACAGTTTATCAACTTTTTTGTTTGTTTCTGGACCACACCTGACTGTGTTCAGGACGTACTCCTGACTCTGCACTCAGGGATCACTCCTGGTGGGGCTCAGAGAACCATAAATGGTGTGAGTACTCTAACCTGGGTCAACCGCACGCAAGGCAAGTGCCTTACCCACTGTACTGTCTCCCCAGCTCCTCAATTTTCTTTAATATACCGCGAGTCTCTCCAAATGTTTGGGAATCAGTTTCCAGGGAACCAAGTACTTCCCAAAGCTCCCACAACTGGAGAATTACCTCAAAATTTAGATAAGTGCTGAGTTTCATTTGTATTTGTAATTTTTACCTTCTCTTATCCTTGCCATAAAAGTCATACATATTGGTTGAGTGCCACCCAGTTTCTGTCCTGAGTCACTGGATTGGCAGCAGCAACATCTCAGTAAAGGAGAAAGGCTCTTTATCATTTTTCAGGGCAGCGAGAAGGGAGGAGGGTAAATAAAAAATTTATTTTTATCTTAGTTATTGTGATTTACAGATTTACAATACTGTCACTGATATTGTACCCTTTATCCCAGGGTCCCTCCTCATTCTTCCCCACTCCCTGATACAACATCCTCATCTTCTGCTCACTTCCGCCCTTTCCCTCCCCCATCTCACAGCCAGGGTTTTGTAGAGCAGTTCTTAGATTCTGCTGCTTTTGGCCTTTTGTTATCCCTCAGCTATGCTTTTTTATATCCCACATATGAATAATTGATCTGTATCTGTCCCTCTTCTGGTTGACTTCACTTAGCATGATACTCTCCAGTTCCATCGATGTAGCAGCAAATCACATGATTTTGTAATTTCTTATACCTGAGTAGTATTCCATTATATACACCATACTGCGGTTTCTTTATCCAGGTATCTGTTCTTGGACACTTGGATTGTTTCCAGATTTTGGTTATCATGTATAGGATTACAATGAATATAGGAATACAACTCTTTCCTGATTAGACAAATAGTATATTTGGGGTTGATCCCCAGAAGTGATGAGTTGTTCATTTCTTAGTTCTGTGAAAGCTCAACTCTTAGTTATTTGATGAGAGTGAATATTGTTTTCTAAAAAGGTTTACCCACGGGGCAGTAGAGTTAGTACGTTGGGTAAGGGACTTGCCTTGCATGTGGCTGACCCAGGTTCCACCCCAAGCATACACATGGTTCTTAAAGCCCTGCCAGGACTGACCCCTAAGTGCAGAACCAGGAGTAAACCCAGAGCACAGTTAGGTGTGGTCAAAAGCAAACAAAAGCCCAAAAAGGTTGAACCAGTTGACATTCCCACCAGCAGTGGATGAGGGTCCCATCTGAGAGTATGTTTGCAAACCCTTCATTCTTTGGGTAGTGGAGGACGGTCAAGAATCAGGGATGCTGTCTCATTTGCCAAGGCATCGAAAATCAGATGGGCTGGACACGTAATGAGATTTGGAGACGACCACTGGACTAGAGCCATTACTGACTGGATTCTATGGGATGTCAAAAGATCGTGTGGCCGCCCACATACGAGATGGTCAGACTTCTTCGTTAAGACCCTGAACGATCGGTTTGAGGCTGTTCGTGTTCCTAGAACGAACAGATGCCATTGGGCTACACTAGCACGTGACAGAGACGGATGGAGACATTAGTGGCGACCACTCGAGCAAACTGATGAATAATGGGATGTCAAGTGATCAAGTGATCAAGTGATCATTCTTTGGGAAGTAAAAGTGGTGAGACAAAAATGGGAGATGGAATTTGTTTAAAGGGAAAATGAGGCTAGAGAGGTTAAGGTTAAGGTACAGAGGTTAAAGTGCTTGCCATGAATTCAGCTAACTTGGATTCAGTCCCAGCACTATGAATGATCCCCTTGAGCAGAAAGTCAAGAGTAGATCCTGAGCACTGCTGGAGGTAAATACACCCTCTTCACCACGAAATGAAGGGACAAAAATGACAATTCTGTAGAGCAGAAGAAATGTCAGTTTGTCATTCCCAGTACTTCTCTCCAGTGTCTAACTCGTCTCTTTTTCTATTTTAATTTACATATTTTATTAATTTTTAAAGGGCTGAAGCAGTAGCACAGTGAGTAGGGCATTTGACTTGCATGTGGCCGACCCGGACGACCTGGGTTCAAATCCTCCACCCCTCTCAGAGAGCCTGGCAAACTACCGAGAGTATCTTGCCTGCAAGGCAAAGCCTGGCAAGCTACCCGTGACATATTCGATATGCCAAAAACAGTAACAAGTCTCACAATGGAGACATAACTGGTGTCCGCTCGAGCAAATCGATGAACAACGGGAGGACAGTGACGGCAGTGACAGTGACAGTGATTAATTTTTAAAGTAAAGTTGTTCATGATGATTTGTTACATTTACTATTTCAACACCAATCCCACCACCATTGTACGTTCCCACCACCATTATTTCCAATTTTCCCAACCCCCCCCCCAGTCTACCCCTATAGCAGGCCCTCAGTAATTTATTTTATATTGCTTGTTATAAATATTTTCCTAAAAATGGTCAAAAATGTTTCCTTCTAAGAAAGTTAGTGAAGATTTTTGTATCTCACTGTGGAGCCACTAAACCCTTATATAAGCAATTACTAACATGTTGCTACAGGTTAAGCCTTGTGTGTTTATATTTTTTTAATCGAAATTGGTTGCCTTATACTTTACATCCCATCTAGTTTGGTGTGCTACTTCTGGTTTATCAGTGTTGTAGAGTTTAAGATGTCGTTCCATTAATTTTTAATAGGCTGATACAGCTGAAATTAAATTTTAATTGGATGGTGACTTTGGGGAGTGAGCATGACTGCCAGGGCTTTCAGAAGTATAGGGAAATTAGTGGAGGTATCCCATTTCTGACCTCATGAAGGCTAGAGATTTCAGTTACAAAACCCGCATACCTGAGTTTTTCAATTGATTACTTTCTGGATGAGGCTTGTCTCAGGCAGTGGAGTGTGGTTGTGAGAATGGTGGTGATTGTGGAGTGTGGAGAGGTTTGGCTGCCAGGGTTCTGTTTGGGTGGGTGCTATGCTTAACTGCACCACCCCACAGCTCCCTTTCTCCCCCGCCGTGGGGTGCCCTGAACAACTCAGCCTGATGCAGGATCTGGAAGCGAAGCATCTCTGCAACTTGTTGATCTCTTTCGAGGTTTATTTATGAGTCTCTGGATCATGGCCAGAGGTGGTTCATGGATGTGACTTTCAAGGCTTCTGGAGGTGGGAGAAAGTAGCCCATCCCCAACTCCATGAAAATCTGGAGATTTCAGTCACAAAACCCCGCATACCTGAGTTTTTCAACAGATTAATTTCTGGATGAGGCATGTGGAGTGTGCAGGTTTTTGGCTGCCAGGCCAGTGTCTAATTCTCAGCTTCCTTTTTCCTGTCCCTTGTTTTCTCTCTAGGCACCTACGAGGAAGTGATGGCTCTCCAGAGGACCCATTCACTGCTTCTGCTCTTGGTTTTGACCCTACTGGGTCTGGGGATGATAAAACCCTCCTATGGCCAGAATGGAATGTACCAACGGTTCCTGCGGCAGCACATGGATCCTGACGGGACAGGCGGCACTGATGGATACTGCAACTTGATGATGCAAAGACGGAGGATGACTTCGAATCGGTGCAAGCCTGTCAACACCTTCATTCATGAAAACATCTGGGACATACGCAGTATCTGCTACAGCCCCACTATTC